TGATGCTGATTAAAAGGAAATATATTCATTAGGGTCAGGAGTTCTCAAGTGCTGGAGACTGATTTATAACTACTGGCAAGGGCACCTCATTAAGCACTGAATTGTGCTGAGATAACTTGTTAATTTCCTGGTCATCCACTATCTCTACCAGAATGCATCGCTGCTTTGCTGAAACCACACAAGTAAATTAAAAGGCATTTGCTTTTTTCAAATTAAAAAAAAAATTTTTTTTTTGAACATTCACCTTGAGAGACCGAGCGTAAGCGGAAAAAGGGCAGAGAGGGAGACACAAACTGAAGCAGGCACCAGGCTCTGAGCTGTCAGCACAGAGCCGGGCGTGGCTCTGTAACCCACGAACTGTGAGATCATGACCTAAGTCAAGTCCGGACGCTTTAACTGAGCCACCCAGATGCCCGTTTTCTAGTCTGCAAGCATGGTTCAACCCTCAGATGTTGTGACATTTCTCCTTATTACAGTATTGAACGCTTGGGGAACACCAAGAGGTTCCCCTTGGCCTTCTCCTGCCATTATGGCTCTTAATTCACAAGCCAAGGATCCAGTGCAGGGGAAGGGCAGCTGTCAACTGCCCACTGCCTATGTACCCCTTTGTACTAATTCACTCAGGGAGGTACCTGCAGGGGTCTGCAAACTTGACTACAGTGAGATGAAATTGGCCTGCAACTTGGCTTTCTCACATTCCCACTCTAACAAAGAAAATCCTGATTTTCAATTAGCTTTTCCAGAGTCAAAGAGTAATATCTAGTAGACAGAGTCAAAATGACCTTATAGCTGTGCCTGTCATGTGGACCCTGTCCATACAGAGGTCCTAATCTTAACGTGAATCACAGATCTGGCCAGGTGAAGCCCTACTGCCTTGGGTTCACTGTCCATTATGTTAATCATGCTTACCTCACATGTGATGGAATCCTTTAACCCTTTCTTGTGCCTGCCAACCATGGCTGTGTTTCCATTAAGCTTAAAAAATGTTTGTGTAAGGCTTCCCCTAGCACTTCCTTTATCAACTTAAAAAGTGTCCTGGGCCCTCCCACAGAACATTTTTTTAAAAATTTATTTAATCACTATACCCATAAGTGGGCTTGGTTTCACGAGCCCAAGATCAAGTTGCCATAGCTCTTTCAACTGGGCCTGCTGCCGTTGCCCCTCTACAGCACACTTTTAGCGGGTTTTTCCTGCCTTCATAAGTAAATCCTAACATGCCCACCTGGATCTCTGATGATTCTTTCTCAACAGCCAGCATCCCTTCTCTCCAGTAGGTTGCTGTCTCCGAAAAGCTTCAAGAGTTGACGCAGAGCCGTTATTTAGGATGGACTCAAGCATTTATTCAAAATTTAAATCCCAGTACACAGGAGATGTTGGTTATCATTTACACTCAACCTTCTGGTCCAGCATCCTCCAGACCCCCCCAACCCCCCGTCCACACAGATCAATCAGGCCCTGCTGTTTGGTGGCATCTGCATTTCCTGCAGGGCCTCTCCTTCTGTGTCAAGTGCTAAGTCCTGATACTAGTTTTCTGGAACTGAAAAAATCAGAATTTCCTTGAAGGTATCGATAAGCAAATTATATTAGGTTTTGCAGGCCAAGACACATTTAAATTTTTAGTCTAATAATAAAGAATGGGATTCATTTGGGAGTTTTAACTGGGGTACTTCCTGACATTAAATTGATTCATCTGTAAACCATTCTCAGGTCATGACCATGTAAAACAGGCTGGATTGACAGGCAGTTGCGTGGCAGTCTGCCAATCCATTCTAGAAACAATACCGGAAGTGGACTTTGATGAGGAGGACATCTTATAAATCACCTACCACAAGGTGAGGCCTCCAAATAATTTTACTTCTAGTAGGAGGGAGCCACTGCTGGCCCATAACAATTTCGGATAATATAGCACATTCCTCCAACCCATATCCAGGTTCTTGGAGCCCACCTCCTTCCTTATCTGGACCCTAAACCTAACAAGGGAAGGAGGCGGTGAATATACTCCTTAAAACTGCACCTTATCAAATTTTGTCATTATTGCCAGGTTTCTTAAGCTCTCAGGTGTTCTATCTGGTTTTGGTCTTGACCACCCAGGGCCTTAGCATCCCTATGCACTGCTGGAGACTTGGGAGAATGGTATCTTAAGGGATGGGTAGAGACCCTGAACATGGCTCACATCAGGTGCATGAGCTCTGCCTCCCAGAATCTCACGCTACCTATCATCGAAATGACCTTCCAGGTTCAGCCTAAGGCCCCGAACCTCTGGCTTGGCATTCCATTATTGCTGCCCTATCTAAACTATCTGAACCTGCAGAACACCAGTGGGAAGAAAGGCAGGTAAGGTGGGGCTATGAGGCCATAGGAGGATGAGAGGGCTGGGGTAAGATTCTAGTTTACATAAATGTTGCTTAAAGGTACCAGGGCTTAATCAATATAAAGTATTATTTTACGTCTATAAATGAAGCTTGTCCCTTTGAAATGATACCATGAAGACCCAAAACCGGTGAAGTTAGTATATCTGGGCTGGACACAAAGTTTGCAAAAAAGTGTATTAAGTAGGCAAAAAAGGTGTTTCAAAGCAAACTCCATTCACATCTTAAAGTCTTGATGGTCTTAGTTTATGTCAAACAAAGTGATGGCAGGCAGTAAGCGTGTGCAGAGCTGCCTGAATTTGGACATGGTTCTCTACTTCAGGGGTGGAAGTACATTTTCAATTTGGAAACAGATCTGTCCCAAGCTGTGTGAAGTCCTGCAATAACCGTAACTGCTAACCTGGGAGGAGCTAGTATGGGAAAAAAAAATAGCACATTTTATATTTAAAAAAAAAAAAAACAAAAAACAACAAAAAAACTGTGGTTAATAACTGCCAGTGTATGGCAGTGAAGGCCGGCAATGCCATGAGAAATGAACAGGACTCAGCATAAACAAAACGGAAGACTAGGACACACTGATCAAGATAGAACAGCACTCTAGTCTCTGAAGGCTGGGACTGTGTTTCTATTTTAATACTCTGATGCTTTCCAGTCACCATTTCAATTATTTAATAATATTTTAAAAAACCAAACTTTTAATTTAACCGTAGGTGGTATGGAATGAGAGGGAAATCCTTAGGATTTCATGTGCTAAATTATTTTGAAATTATAATGAAATATTGTGCAGTATTAAAAGCAAGTTCTTCAACCACCCATTTTTACAAGTATACTTTTTGGGGTGAGTATATAGTCGGTTATGATCATTGTGGAAATAACTATTTTAAGAAAAAATTAACAAAAAAATTTAACAAAGTTTCACTTTAAAATACACCCAAAAGGAAATCACAGTACAAGAAAGTTTAAGTCAAGGCCTCACCAATTCCTACAGTATTAGTAATGTATGTCTCAATTTCAAACTAACTTATTTAAAGCTTAACTTAACCTAAAAGATTTTAAATGAAAATAAACTAGAATGAACAAACACATAACAGATTAGGAGAAATGTCTCTTTTTTTGAATTAGCACCTTGAGTTTTCCAAAAGTAATGCCTCCCCAATGTGTTCATCACGATGTGGTGTAAAAGATCAATAAACTACTTTAACTGTAGATAACATCACTCTGAAGTACACTACCAAAATGTTAATTGAGAAAGCTATGTCAGTTTTAGTTTATCAATACTCATGCTAGAAGAAAGTTTGCAACCTGAAGAGAAAATACTTTATAATCCATTTCACAACTCATGGTGCAAAATGGGTCCCACAGCTTCCTCAGAGGTAATTGCTTTTCACTGCTTGTTGGCTGCCTAGAAAATTTGATTGCAATAACTCAAATGCTCCTAAAATATAGTCATCCACCATGCTGTTCCGGCCTCATAGCCAGCCCTCCCATAACAGCCACTCACAGACTGGCTCTTTCAGGGCTTGTAAGTGGACTGGGCCGACACCATGCCTGCCCATCATCTGGTTGCATTCCATTGCTGGCCCAGTTGTGGAATTCAGGAAAAGTTCTATGTATCTGTATGGGTATGTTGGCCCGGTCTTTGGACATTGCTGCCACAGCTTCTTAGTGGAGGCAAACTGGGGTTTCAACACACCTTCTTCCATCAGGGCCAATCTCAATATGGACTCTCACAGGGTTTTGAGTGGAGAGAAGAAGTTGTAAATGTCGCTCTCTGTGCTTTGTATGGTAGCCCTCTCATGGGACACAGTGTCCAGTGGTACTCTGACACTGCCTCCCAGAGATGAACTCAGGTCATACATGCCTGAGACAGTAACTGAGGTCTCTCCCAAACAGATCAGTGGTGAAGCCTTAGCCATCAGCTGAAAGGCGCTGTACTCCTCATAGCCCCATAGCCTGCACTATAAGCACCAGACTCATCCTCCAGGCCTGCTTGCTGACAATGCCAATACTCTGGCTGCAGCCAGGGCGTCATAGGGCCCTGGCTGCTGGGTACAGACATGAACTGAGGGGGATCCTGTGCATGACTCAATCTCTTCCTGGGACTGCTCTTGGAACACTTCAACATATACCTGTGCTCCTATTCTCCTTCAAAGCTTCCCTAGGGCCTTCTCAGCTAACTCTAGAGTAAACTGCAAAGGCTTCCCCTGTGTCTTTGCCCTCGGGTTCACAGGCAATGTGGATCCCATGGTTTGGCACAATTTCAACCTGAGAAGAACTGAACAATTTTCTTCCCCTTGGTGCATCAAATGGGAGTCCTCAAGCCGCCCACGAAGAAACCATCATTGGCGTGGGTGTCGGTAAACCCTGTTTGGACTGTGCTTCAACACCCAATCCATCTTCGGTTCTGTGGGACTTGAACACCACCTCGTATAACGGTGTCCCATGCTTTCCTGTCTTTTTTTTAAGGGCCATTTTACATCTGATCATCTTCAAGTTCAACAAAAGCCTCACCACTCTGCCTGCCTTCTCTAGTGTAGAT